TGGCAGATAATTTATGCCCGCTATGTCAGCTAAAGAGCATGGATAATAACCATTGACAGTTTGAATTTTGCTCTGTTTTTTGAGGCCTCATAGCTTCTCCATTAGACTTAACAACCAGTCGGTGTAAAAATAAATCTCTCTGAGCAATAGGAATTGCAAGCAATGTCACCTGCAATATCAAACCATTTGGCAGAGTCCAAAGAACCTTGGCCTGTGTGTAAACGGGGAGTTTTTTTTAAAAACCAAAAGCAGCTAGTCAAACTGTTAACATCCATCATTTTTTCTACTTAATATCAGTACATAAGAACATAAGACTTTGTTAGGCGAAAGAAGACCAAGGTCCATCTTGTTTGCCTTCCACCATCCTAGTAATTGCTTGACATGTCATGTCCCAAACTATATACTGTATCCTGAGATATTTTCTAGCAGAAATCTGTCTAGATTGTTCTTGAAGCACACAACACTTTCTGGGGGAAAGATGATCAAAAGCACAGTTGAAGAACCTTGGTGATGCAATGGAAATATTATTGTAGAGACATTTATTGAAGCTGTTGACTTGCCACCACCAACTTTAAGAACTGGCAAAGAGTGAGAATGAAATAACCGATCGGCATTCTTCAAGAACTAAATTCCCTTTAAACAGTGAAGAAAATTATTAAAGGCTACAGAGAAAGATTTAGGATTAGAGAAATAAGCTCCAGTTGAATAGCTGAAACCAGTTTAAACTTAATTGGGCAAACGTCTTCCTTGGTTGGAATTGTAATTTTGATGATATAATCATTCGTCCTATTTAAACCTGCTCAGATGTACCATATATAACTGTTTGTGGGACACTGCTGTGTGCAGTTGACTGCTGTGTTTCGTCCACAAAATATACAGTCAATTTATTTTACAGTATATTCTGTGAAGCGCCTTGAGACATTTCAACAACGTGATAAGGTGCTATTTTATATCAAAGGGTTATTATTATTACCAGGCTAATAAAATATATTTCTAGACAGGTGGTCAGCAAGTTTAAAAAAACGTTCCATTGAGACCATTTCAGATGGCCTCTAACAAAACAAAATCTTGAAGAAACAAAAACGGAATGCAGTTGGATCAGTGTTTTCGGGATTTGCACTAGAGATTAAACTGCTAAACACAGTTGTTGTTTTTAGCTAAACAATTTCTGGCAAATATAATTCACTAATTTCTGAGCTCAGAGATGGGGAGAATACAGTACTTTCTCGGCAATACCTGGATTAAGGACTGACCTCTGTATCTTCCCTCCATTTGTTAGACAAACACGAGGGGTGTCCCTTCTGAAGGTGCAATATGTTCTACAATTCGCAGCTCCTGGTTTCAGTGTCTTAATGAGAACCCAGTTATTGTGAAATCGAGATGTAATTTGTCTGAAAGAAAGTCCTTAAGGCTTTTAAATTTTCATGGCATAAATACTTCTAAGGTTGTTTTATGCATGACTAATCTGGGAGACATGAATATTTTACAGCGTGGACTCTTGCTTGGGAATTAACGGAAAAAAAACATGACATATCCTTAAAGTATGAAACGTGTATATCAGATGGGAAGCTGCATTGCTGGGTCAATTTGCATGATATCAAATAATGCATTCATCTCAGAGAAGCTGCCCTTTCTGGGTGGCGTCTAGTGGTGGAATCATTATTACAGCTATTCGTCAAAGGCAGTTGCTTTGTTTTTAATAGAATAAAGAAAACTATGAAAATGGTGATGCTTTTTCAGTGCATTTGTCTCAGGCTCATTAACCTTGTTCCGTCCTAGTCTCAGGAAATGTTACTGAAAGTCACTGCTCAACAATGGGGCAAGTGGTATGTGGACAGTGTTTACTATCTGTCGAGCACTGTCCTGTATCTGATTCTAGATTAGGACAGAGGTTGGGAGGGCACCTAAATCAGGCATGTCATGTTCTATTTTCCAAAAAAAGCCCTGGAAAGGAAATGGTCTGGAGAACTGAGATGAAGTAAACTGTTTTTGTTCAACTTAAAACGATTCCCCATTGAAAGTCTTTGGGTTGTAACCTAGATACATTTGAGAGCTGATTATCGGCAGTAAAAGAGACCGGCTCCATTGTGGATAAGAAAGATAACCAAAATTCTTTCCTCAAGAATTCTATCATCTTTAGAGTACCACATTGTGCTACCCATTATCTCTCTCTCTCCAATATTTTCTCTCATACTCTCTTTTTCTCTCTCTTTCTCTGACTGTTTTTCTCTTTGAGAGTCTCTAACATTCTCTAACTCTGTGAGTCTCTCTTTCTCCAGCAAAAATACACAGTCAATTCACTTCACAGTATATTCTGTGAAGTACTTTAAGACGTCTCAACAACGTGATAAGGCGCTAACTCAAATGCAAGGATTATTATTATGACATCTTATTCCTCTGTTTCTCCATCTCTGGATTTCTCTTTCTCAAACTTTCTCGGACTCTTTCCCCATCTCTATTTCTATAGATAATAATCACTATAGATAATTAATCACAGGCAGTCACGTGTCACAAATAAATTGTGGTCTTAGTAACCTTACATGGAACTATTTTTTTTGCTGGAATTTCAATCTTGCAACCATGGATGGTTGGGATGTGGATAAGGGGCTTTCTACTCTAATTCTTTATTCAAAAAAGAATGGCGTTTAAAAAAAACTGCTTATGGCAGTTTTAGTTTTACAGGTTTGATGTTTTTCTATGCATTTTGGCCACAAAATATAGCGTAAATTCACCTTACAATGTATCCCGTGAAGCACGTTGAGACGTTTCGAAGACGTGATAAGGCCCTATATCAAATACAAAGATTATTATTTTTATTATTATTGTAATTATTTCTCTATCTCTCTATATTGCATTGAATAACAACACTTGGATAGCATCTCAAAGCACTACAGGAGTCAGTGAGGATTTATCTTGAAAGCTGACGGAGGAATTATATTTCAGACTCAGTACTGCTCCCTTGGGTTTCCCTTTGTTAGATATTACGGGTGGGTGGTTACTGCCTCTCAGATTTCTGCCAATGTTGCTTCATAGTCTGTCAGTGGGAACTGATGTGGAACAATCTGTGGTGACACTACAAAATGAAAACTGTTTATAGTTAGGATTGTAATAAAACATCACAGTAATCCTTGCTTTTGATATCATGCCTTTCACATTGGGAGGACATCTCAAAGTACTTCATAGGAATTACTGTAAAGTATAGTAACTGTACTTGTAGATGTCCCACAAATGCTATGAAATTAATGGCCAATTTTATTTGGGGGATTGTTGACCAGAACATTGGGAGAAACTCCCTGCTCATTTGTAATTGCTATCCCTCCACTCAGCAGGCTCCGGCCTGCTCCACGTCCCCTGCCCGGCCCGCCCCGCCCCACCATCAGCGGTTGGGCCTTCAGCATCTCTGCCCCCACCCTCTGGAACTCCATCCCACATTCCCTTCGCCTCGCTCCCTCCCTTGCTTCTTTCAAGGCACATCTCAAGACCCTCCTCTTCGACTGTGCCTTCGGCCAACCTCCCTGCACTCCACCCGCCCTGATCCCAACTCCTCCGCCCGGCTCGGGTCCAAATCCCTGACGGTCCAGGGCTTGGGACATCTTCCCGACGTGGTATTGCTTAATTGAGTGTGATAAAACTAAATTAATAATGTTTTTTTTAGTGGGTATTATAAGTAAATAAGTAAATATAGTAGGAAAGTCCACCACGTCATTTATTTCTTGATCAATGGTGAGTCTTCCTTTGAAATCTGTATTAGTGTTCCAGAACTGTTACCTGAGCACAAACTGGAGCCTCTGTGAAAGGCTGGGAAGTGAACTCCTGATCAATATCCTAATTGCAGGATGAATGAAACTCCATCCAGTGTGTTGGGGCTTGCTAAAAATCCAGGACGTCTCCAAACCAATGATCCATTGGTTAGTATAAAAATCACACAACCATATTGTTTGCATTAGTCTACAGCTTCAAAGGGGAATTACACTTTTCATGCAAAGTATTCCACAGGTTTATGTTTCTGGTAAGCACTGTATCTGACCCTGTATTAATACAGGGGCCACGAACACTAACTAAATCAGGTATGTAGTGTTTTTTCTACATTCCAAAAACTAGTACTGAGATTGAAAAAAAATACTCTGAAGATCTACAGTAAAATAAACTGTTTTTGTTAAAATTGAAACATCTCCAGATTCCAAAGGAAGAGCAGTTACCAGCAGACTAGAACTACAACAACTTGTATAACCCCTTCACAAGGGGTAGCATTCTTTATAAGGAGATGAGTTGCATTGAAAGTACTAAAATTCATGGAATGAATTGAGCTAGCTAGTGTGTTAAGAGCTCCTTGCTTTTTGTACCAATAATGAATGCCCGGAGCCCACTTCTTGTAACATCCATGTGCTGATTATGCCAAGCTATATGGATCGGTGAATTATAAGAGTTTCAAAGCTTGCTTTTAATCAGACTTTCAGTTATCTTTTGCCTCCCACCCCCATCCCCAACACTCTTCAGCTCCTCCTCTCACCTATCCCATCCCCACTTCTGGGCTCAGATGCCCAGCAAGCTCTGTATATAGTGTCTTGAGACGTCTTCCCAATGTGAAAGGTGCTACATAAATGTAAATTGTATGTTGCAAATAGAATCTGAGATGATTTGGGCCAATTAAAGCAGATGGGCCTTGAAGTAGGCAGATTGATTTTAATGTTGATAAATGAACACTGATGTGCATTGGAAGAAGAAACAGTGAATATGTGTATAAAATGAAGGGATGTTCTTTAACAGAGAAAGAGAAAGATTAGTTTTGGTGTTGTAGACTCAATGGACTGAATGGTCTTCTCATTCGCTGTTTCATTGTGTCTTATCCATCTCCCAGACTGGAGCTATGTTTAACTTTTTACCCTATGATGTATCACTAGAAGTCCTCCGAAACGTTGCCCTGTGTTAAGGGTACTATATAAATGCAAGTTGTTGTATTTTAAACACTACAAAAACATGACTTTGTTTATTCCACACAGACATGCCTCTCCACGTACGACGCAGCAGTGACCCCGCATTGGTTGGTTTGCTGTCCTCTGTGACTGAAACCACTTTTCCTACAGAAGAGCCTTCTCGAAAAAATCCAACCCGCTGGTCAACAACGCCGGGCTTCCCAAAGCCAAGCCAAACCTCTAGTAGCCTCGACAGAAAAAAGGTAGGCTGTGAACTGTCCTCTAATAATACTGAGGTTCAAATATATAATAATAATTATAATACAGCACTCGCACATTTTCTTAGGTTTCGGGGTTTTGACTGCTGAATGTTAACTAACTAAATGGGGTTAATAGGGAAAGGTAAGTGCAATGTAATCATCTCTGTACTTCCTTTAAAAGGCCTAATGAGTTTAGTCTTATGTATATTCTCAAGGGCTAAGGAACCGGCCTAATTTACTTACTGCAAAGGTAGATTTATACCACTAAAAATTGCTCTCAAAATAGCAATATACTAAATTGTTGCAGACGGTGAAGTGATGTATGTTGACAATTTTCTATTAACTTACTTTTAAAATTTTTCTTCTATAATCCTGTTTCTATACATATTATGTCAGTGCTGTCTTCAATCTTGCACAATGCTTGTCCTTCAAACCAGCAATTGTGGAAAAAAAAGTGAAGCTGTACATCTGCAGCCTCCATATATTATTTTTCTAAATTGTTATGTTTTGGCCAAATTGCAGCTCACTGCAGACTGCCTTCTCTAAAGCGCACAATGCGTCTTGTTGGCTTGTTCTAACTGCCTGATTACGAAGTTTCCAATTCTGCTCACACGATAAAATGTCTAAGCTAATAAATGGAACTGGATTGAAAAAGCAGCAAAAGGTATGAAATTTCAAATGGGTTCAGCAGCAATGACTGATATTTAGATGTACATTCAGGAAATCCATGGCGGGTTCAAACTGAGGTTCTTGCTGTACAATCATGATTGAGGCGCTAATACATGTGCATTATTCATTGTCAAGCTCCTGCTTATAGCTTTATAACAACAACAACTTGTATTTATATTATCCTGGGTTTGTATATGCACATCCCATTTGAAATAATAATCCTTGCATTTGATACAGCGCCTTATCACGTCTTCAAGACGTCGCAAAGCGCTTCACAGAGTATACTGTAAAGTGAATTGACTGTATACTTTGTGGACAAAATGCAATGGCGCCATAGCTCCTGCTTATAGGTGGAAACTTGCTGTGGACTTCCTAAGGAATAGAAGTAATAATTTGCGTTCAGCAGCTTTCAGTAATTAATAATAATCCTTGCATTTGATACAGCTTTGTTAATGTCTCAAACATCTCAAACCGTTTCACAAAGTTTCTGTAAAGTCTAGTAACTGTGTTAGTACTGTAGTAAAGTCTAGTACTGTAAGTGAAGACACTGGATTTTTTTTGTTCCCTTATTCATGAATATGTACGAGTCGATTGTTTACCCTTTTGCCTGTCTGCCTAGCCACCATGACCTGAAATGTTGCCTGCTCTTGCCCTGTTTGTGACACCATTTTGTCTTTGGTCACTCAATCCATGACTGTTTGTGGGACACTGCTGTGTGGAACTGGTTGCCACATTTCGCCCACAAAATATACAGTCAATTCACTTTACAGTATATTCTGTGAAGTGCTTTGAGACATCGCAATGATGTGATAAGGTGCTGTAAGCAAGGATTATTATTATTAATCCTTATTATTAATCAAAACTGACAGCCAGTTTGCAAGCATTAATGTCCCACAAATATCCTTGATATGAATGATTACTTTTTCTGGGGGATTGTTGGCCAGGGCACTGGGAAAAGTTTTTTTTTTCGAGTAATGCCATGGGATCTTTAAAGTCTAATATTTCATAAGGAAACTTGCGTAAGGTTTGCCCCGCCCGGGAATCAAACCCGAAGTATGGAAAATGGGCTGTCAAATTAAGACTATATATAAGACCTTTCCAAAATGTCTACGCAATCTGACATTTAAAGACAATGGTTTTAAGCCTAAAACCGCCTAAAAGAAATGTAGAGCTTCTGCTGTTAGTTAATCCTCTAGAGCTCTTGGATGAAGGAGATTTTACTGTACAGTCATTCATAGACCGTTGCTAAAATTAATGATGTAAATGTATAATGATTAAGCGTGACTGGAAGAGTACAGTCGTATCTAATCAAGGCAACAATGGGAAGATTTTTGACTTCAAGCCTGTTGGTACAGCAACTCATCTGAGTGAGACTGACTTAGCTGGAATAGCCTGCTCACAGGGTCAGAAGAAAGCTGGGTTCATCCAGAGATCCAGCTTCCTTTTCCACTAAAATTGCAACGTGCTGCCTATTTCAAGATTGTCTTGCAGTCAGTGGGATCTGTCTAAGTGTAGGTTTCACCTAGGGGGCCAATTTAGAAGTCTGCCAGTATAAACTGGCAGCCTGAGCTCGTCTTCTCAATCTCCTGTCCTGCTGATTCTCTTCCCAGGCTGGTTAAATGTACTTTTTTTTCATCCATCTGCATGCAAAGCTTTTGTTCTTGTTTTCCTTCCCTCCCGCTTCCACACACACACACACACACACACAAATAAGGAAATAGGATAACCCTGAGGTCAGGAATATTCTTAAATCTGCTTCTCCTCCTATGGAGTTGGTGGAGAACAAGAAAAATCCGATCCATTCAGGTCATTATGAAGGTAAGTTAATGGTACTTCAGGTAATTCAGGGCATACATCCAGGGGACTGTCTACCAGCTTTCCACCTCAAAGTAGTTTCACATCAAGATTGTGGAGTCCTGGAGCTCAGTGGTTCGAGCACTCGCTTTGCAAGTGAGAGACCTGAGTTCAATTCCAGGCAGGGCGAAATCTTGGGCAAGTTTCCTTACTCCACACAGAGCCTAATAATAATCCCTCCAAAAACCCAAAACAATAATAAATTGGTCATTTTCAATCTACGACTGTTTGTGGGACATTGCTGTGCGCAATTGGCTGCCGCGTTCGCCCACAAATATACAGTCAATTCACTTTACAGTGTGTTCTGTGAAGCGCTTTGGGACGTCCCCCCGACGTGAAAAGCGCTATATCAAATGCAAGGATTATTATTATTATTATATGCAAACCCCTCACAAAGCACTGGAGATGAAACCTGATGGAGTCCATTTTCAATCCATGCTTTTCCTATTCAGCTTCACATCAACGCCCAGAGAGCTCATAAAGGTGGTGTCATGTAACGAGAATCCCACTATAAAGGTCCATGGTGGGCTTTCTCATCATGTGACACCTCGGTTGTTACCCTTATTTAGACAGCTGCACATCAGGACCTTCTCTGAAGACTGCACAGGCAATCAAGAATCGTGTTTTCAAAGGTTCTGGATGCTGCCAGTGCTTGAACCTCTATTAACTGGTATCATTACCTTTAAGATCTTTCAGCTTAATTTATCCTTGCATTTGATATAGCGCCTTATCACGTCTTCGAGATGTCTCAAAGCGCTTCACAGAATATACTGTAAAGTGAATTGACTGTATATTGTGTGGGCGAAACCCAGCAGCCAATTGCGCACAGCAGTGTCCCACAAACAGTCATGGATTGAAGTGACCAAAGACAAAATGGTGTCACAAACAGGATAAGAGCAGGTATCAGTCTGGCTCAGTTGGTAGCGCTCTCACCACTGAGTTCGAAAGTTGCGGGTACATCTTGCCCCCATCACCTTGTTGGAGGTAGGATTTGGGCACTTGATAGATTACTTCCCCCTTCATCCTCCCTTTATTTTAGAAACCAAAGATGGGACTGTCACCTTTAGTGTGGTACAGATTCAAGGACCATATTCTGATAATAATAATGATCATTACATTTGATATAGCATCTTATGACGTCTTCAAGACGTCTCAAAAGCGCTTCACAGAATATACTGTAAAGTGATTTGACTGTATATTTTGTGGGCGAAATGCAGCAGCATTTGTGTACAGCAGTGTTCCATAAAGAGTTGTGGATTGAGTGAACAAATTATTATTGTTTTTTTTTCTTGAGGGATTATTATCAGGCGTGTGGAGTAAGGAAACTTGCCCAAGGTTTCGCCCTTCTGGGAATCAAACCCAGGTCTCTCACTTGCGAGGCGAGTGTTCTAACCACTGAGCTATAGGACTCCTAATGATGTGGAGCTTGAACCCACAACTTTCCGACTCAGAGTTGAGATCGCTACCAAATGAGCCAGGCTGACACACACTATTACAATCTTTTAATGGATATCACTCAGTTGTTCATTGAGGGGTTATTCCATTGTAAGAGCATCCAAATCCTTTCTGACAACCCAATCTTTGTAAGAATCAGTCAGGAAATACTTTAGGAAAAAGATTGGCAGATTTTGTTTCTGGGGGAATTGGATCTGTTAAACAAAACTGTCTCCTGAAATGAGCGTTTATGTGTAAGTCTTCACACCCTTTCCTCACATGCCCAGCAACATTCACAGGGTTTGAGCAGAGGAAATGACCACTTACTGGATAAAGAAAACTTGATTCTTATTTGTTTGTTCAACCTTCATGTACAAGTGGATGCTTCCATGATCCCGTGGGAAAATTGCCTAAGAGTTCTTTGTGAACTTTTCACCTTTGGGGGTTACCTTGTAAGTTATCTTTCATTGCACAGCAATGGATATGTGACCGTGATGCCCACACAAGTGCATGATGGTGCGTCAATGGGATACCTTATGATGCAGGGAACTGTCACAGGTGAATCATGTAGAATGTTAGGTGAGAGAGACATTCTGGAGTTTTTGTTGCCTCTTGCTAGATTTAGCAAAGGACGATTCCCAACTGGAGGGGTTGACCACTGTCCTTCACTCTTACCAGTTTACTGGTTAAAATGGGAGTTTGGGACATGAGTGGGACCTGTTGCGTCATTGCTGTAATATACCTCAGCAGATATATTACAATATTGATCATGTAATCAATGAGATGATGTGATTCAATGCGCAATTCCACATTTACATGTTGTAGGAGGAGCTTGTATCACTACTATGATTGGCGATATGTGACTTCGATGCTTGACATGAACAAGACTTTGTGCACACTGATGAGGAAAAATTCCATCACTAAGATGTTTACGGAACATTTAATGTTAGTTTTCAACCTTTTTTTATTTTAAAACCATGAAAAGCTGGTCGCGGGGAATTTGGGTTGGTAAAAGTGATAATTAAAAAAAGTTTTCTCAAAAACATTATTCAACTGTTGATGGCTATTTTCAGCTTCTGGGATGCCCAAGGAGATACAGTTCTGCCGATTGTCGCACAGGTTACAGTCATAAATGACCTCTGTGATCGTGCACATATGCCCTCCGCACAGATGTAATCTGCTTCAGGACACATTATAATATTCCTTGCATTTGATATAGCCCCTTATCAAGTCATTTCAAAGCTCTTGACATAATATACTGTAAAGTAAATTGACTGTATTTTGTCGGCGAATACATAGTCAATTAACTTTACAGTAAATTCTGTGAATTTCGTGTTGCCAGAATCACTTGTATTTCCAGCTTGTGGTCTGAGACTGAAGGCGCTTGCAGTTGTGTTGTAAAAACATGTTTTGTTAGTACCTGGCTTGTTTCCCTGACGTTTTCAATGTTCCAAGATGAATCCTGATTTTTTTTAACCCTCGATTTTACTTTTGTTTTTTGCATTAAATTTTCGCCTGTTTTTTGACGAGAATAATAGGCCCCGAAAAATACCTGGGTTTTTCCACCTCTTGAATACAAAAAAACTTAAAGGTCCTTAAAGATAGGATAAATCTATGTGGTTCCAGTTGTTTTAGCCTATAGAAGAAGCAGAGTATTTTATGTGGAGGTTTTGCACCATTCAAAGAGTGAGGCAGACAATAAATACGTGGGCAATCTTATTATTGCATGTATGGCTTTTTGGTAGTCCCCAAATTTTGCATAATTAGAACAAAAATAGAAGTAATCCTTGCATTTGATACAGCGCTAAACATGTTGTTGAAACGTCTCAATGAGCTTCACAGGATTTTACTATGAAAAGAAGGGACAGTGTTTTTGTAAGCAAACCCGGCAACCAATTTTGCGAACAGCAACATCCCACAAAGAGCCATGAAGTATGAGTTGCCTCAGTTTGTATCCAAGTCTTTGTGCAGATTTAAATAGCTGGGGAAGCTTGAACTCAAAGTGGTCACTCTTGAGTCTTAGAAGTTGTATTTTACGAAGAAACAAACACATTATGGATTCTATTTAATTCATGGAATTGCTTTTTGGGAAAAGCAAAACTACAGCAGTAAAACAGAAAATGATCCAGTATATGATTGCAGCGGCAAATTAACTATTGCAATACAAGTTTTAATGGAAACCTTTCATGCAAAATTGAGACTCGAGACTCTAAGGCTGCTGCTAAGTAAGAGAATCGCAGCCTGATCCCAGTGTACTGGGGATGCTGCTTGAGTACATTTCTATCAGCTCATCTTGTCCATTAGCAAAGCTAGATGTCACACAGACAATCCTCTTCTGTATTTTTAAATTAATTACGAGTTAAATGTCTCGCAGTCAGTCAGTGAGTAGATTCATGTCATTGCAGTCACCCTGTTTTACTGCTCAAAATAGTCAAACTAGAAAGCAAATTGAGACATCAGAAGTTGACGATGTCTATATAGTAAGTAAGGAGATGGTGTTTTCCATGAAAGTTTGAATCCACACAAAAAATAGATCCTGTGTGTGAATGGGCTAAGTGAAATGTTGCACTGTCCTGAATATCACTGAGGCAAACCATGAGCATTTCTAAGTAACAACAAAGGATCTGCACTTTTAGAGTGCTTTGTCCCATTGAAACATTTCAACACACTTTACAGTAATTACTATCAAGTGGAGTGACTATGTTTTGTATGTAAGTGCAGCAGCTGATGCAAGATCCCACAGCCAGTGAGACGATTGACCAATTTAACTGAAGGATTGTTGAAGTAGTGATTGAAGCTCTCTTTTTCAAAAGTGTCACAGGATCTTTTGTGTTCAGCTGAGAACACGCAGACAGGACATCGCATCTGAAGGACAGCAGCACTGATAATGCAGCACTTTCCACACTACTGTAGTGGAATGCCAACCTTGTCCATGAGCAATAAATAATAATAATAATCCTGGTGTTAAATATGGCATCTTTTATGTTGCAAGGACATCTCAAAGTGCTTCACAGGATTCACTATGAAGTGCAGTGACCATGTGAAGAATTTCTGACGCCATGGGAATATATTTTTAAAAAAAGCAACAATCAGGGTTTCATTTACAGTCTTCGAGTACAATCTCAACACCTGGAGAATCAATAGAAAATTTATGTGCCAAAGGGGGAATATTGTTACATTATCTTCCGTATGTTGCATTTTATAGAAGGAAGCGGCTCGAAGGGATCCAGTGAATGGACAGGAGAACTATAGAAGCTTACCGAGGGATGCTAGCCACTGGTCAAATCAGTTTCAGCGAGACAATGCCAGATCCTCTTTAAGCGCTACTCACCCCATGGTGGACAAGTGGCTGGAACGCCAGGAGCAGGTAGGTGTAAATCCATTCCCAATCCTGAGCCAACATTGTTTTTTTAGGATTCCTAGCAGCCGGCTTTGAGGGGGCACAAGAGTGAGGGAGAGATTATTTAGTCAAATAAATTGGCAAAAATATTCCTTTGTTATACAATGGAAATAACCACTGAAATTCAGAATAAAATTGTTTCCTTTCTAAATTGGATGAGTCGCACCCCCGTACTTAGTGCTGTGTTTCACTGACCTTTCGACAACAGCAACCTGCATTTATATAATGTCCTTCGAGCAGGATAGGATCTCGGAGCACTTAAACAGCATGGAAGAGGTGGATTGTGTTCCTCCAAAGCATGTAGAGCTTGGGTTTCTGGAGTCTGGGACTGAGATGTATTTAAAATGGAGGCTGGAAGAAGTATTCTATTAATGCAAGGCCCAGACATCTGTGTGTCATCACTCTTGCAACCATTACAAGAAGCCTAACACCACTCAAGTTCTGTATGAGCTGTTCCAACTATCCACGTACACTTGCTGACTGACAGTCTGTCAGAAAGTGTTCAATGTTGGTTTGTTTTGTGGCACTAGGAATACAGGAATACAGTTCCTTCAACTACACTGTGAACAAAGTTTGGGATTGGCTGGCTTCCCTTTGGTGAGCAGTAGCCAGCAGCTATCTCAAACAGATGCTTCCTAATGAATGAATGGGAGTCTTAATACTAAATAATGTATGAATAAACTGCATAGTTTAGCAGCTTCAGCCTCACTGATTGTCAGCTGACCGCCTTATGCAAATATTCTATCCAGAGTTGTGTAAAAGCACACGCATATTATGGTTGTTTTCACTTAATCAAGCATAAAGTGTTACAAATCGCACTTTTGTAATTGTTTAAAGAGGAATAATGTAAATGAGTTTGCATGTTAAGACTCGAACCACAATCCTGTACAAGCTTTGAAGGAGTGAGATACAAAGCTACCTGTAACATGGTCAAAGGGTTCAGAAAATAACACCGACCAAAAGTGTGAAGCCTGCCAGGTTCACAAGTAACTGAATCCCAGCCTTTTAATCACCCATATCATCTATCATTTACACGCTGTGTGAAGTATGCAATGTATGTGTAATATTTCAAAAGGAAATAGATGTAAAATATTCAATTAATGCAGATGGACGTGCACAGAAAGCACATTGGTTTGGTGTGGAGAGTCAAGCAGCTCAAAATAATATAAGGTTGAGGTTTCTGTACCACAGTTGGAGCTGGTCCAAGTCCATCAGTAAATCCCAACTAGAATTGGTTTTCCAAAACTCTCCAAAGAATTACTGAACACTTCAAACCCAATCCATCTACAGTATGTCGACTGTGTTGTGTACCATGGGCATTGTGAAATCTAGTAGCTCAGTGGTTAGAGCACTCGCCTTGCAAGCGAGAGACCTGGGTTCGATTCCTGGCAGGGCGAAATGATGGGCAAGTTTCCTTACTCCACAAGCCTCTGTTTACCGAGTAGAAAGTAGGAACCCAGTTGTTTGTTGATTAGCGGATTGCTTTTCCGTGGGTAATAATTCCTTCAAAAAAAACACAACTCTTTGTGGGACACTGCTGTGTGCAATTGGCTGCCACATTTTGCCCACAAAATATACAATTAATTCACTCTGCAGTAGATTTTGTGAAGCGCTTTGAGACGTTTTGAAGATGTGATAAGGTGCAATATCATGGAAGAGTTTGTCACCTCTCACCTGGATTACTCAAACGCACTCTTCGCCGGTCACCCCAGCTCCACTTTTCAAAAGATCCAGCTCATTCAGAACTTTGTTGCCCACATATTTACCTGGACCAAATTCCGTACCCCATCTCACCAAGTCTGGCCAGGCTCCACTAGCTCCCCATCACCAAATGGATCGACTTCAAGATCCTCACACTGTGTTCAAATCCATTGAATCCCTGGCACCTACCTACCTCTCCGACCTCTTCACTTTGCAATCCACCACCATGTGCCTCCGCTCGACTGGCACTGGCTTCCTGCACGTCCCTCGCACCCTCCACTCCACCATTTGACATCGTACGTCCTGAAACTGTGGAACGCTCTCGCTCAATCCCTCCACCGTGCTCTCTCTCTCCCCTTTTTCAAGTCCCGCCTGAAAACCTTTTTTCACTCGCCCGGCTCAGAGTCAGGCTCCACCACTGTTGTGCACTCTGAGACGCTACCCTGTGTGGAGGACTATGTATAAGTGCAAGTTGTTGTTGTATATCAAATGCAAGGATTATTATTATAGTCATCTCTCATGCCTTATAGGTTAGGTTGGACTCAGTGAATATAATAATATAATAATAATAGTAATCCTTGCATTTGATATAGCGCTTTTCACGTCTTCTAGATGTCTCAAAACGCTTCACAGAATAAGCTGTAAAGTGAATTGACTGTATATTTGTAGGCGAAACGCGACAGCCAGCAGTGCCCCACAAACAGTCGTGGATTGAAAATCACCAATTTTATTATTGTTTTGTTTTGGAGGGATGATTATTCGGCATGTGGAGTAAGGAAACTTGCCCAAAGTTTCGCCCTGCCTGGAATTGAATCCAGGTGTCTCGCTTGCAAGGCGAGTGCTCTAACCGCCTTCTCTCATTGTCATTGTCAAAATGTCTTAAAGACCTTAGCGTTATTTACTGTGGATTGCAGTGAACGTGTATTTTGTAGGTTAATGATATAGCCAGTTTGTTCACAGAAACAAGAAGTTAATTAATAATTATTAATTAATAATTAATTAATACGGCTAATAATAATCCCTCCAAAACCCAAAACAATAATAAATTGGTCATTTTCAATGTTTGTGGGACATTGCTGTGCGCAATTGGCTGCCGCGTTCGCCCACAAATATACAGTCAATTCACTTTACAGTGTGTTCTGTGAAGCGCTTTGGGACGTCCTCCCGACGTGAAAAACGCTATATCAAATGCAAGGATTATTATTATTATTAGTAGTATATTGCATTTTATGCCTGAAGGACGTCCCAAGGCAATACAATGTCTCACAAACAGCCATAAAATGAATGACCGGTTTTAGAGAGATTGTTGACCAGGACACTGGAGATAGAGGTGCAGAGATGTGAGGCTGTGTATGTGTGGGGTGGAGGGTGCGGGGGGGGGGGTGGTGCGAAGTGGGATTCACTATCAAAATGTAAAGGGCCAATTCAGGGCATGGGACTGTAAAAATAGCAAGTATCATAGGAATGAAAGAGTGAAATGGATAGACTGAACAGAAAAAATAGTGGATAAAACTATCAGCAATGGGAAATATTTCAAGCAGGACTTAGTGTGCTTCTTCTATTGACTCTTTACCAACAAAACCCAGATATAAGACAATATGCAACTTTGTTAAAAGACTTTAAATAATCCTCAAGGTTGAGAAATGTTTTTATCATAGCTTGGTGACACGTGGGATATACACCCAACATCAATGCTGCACCGATTAATACTTTAAAAATGAACTGGGTATGTATCTGTCTCGGAATAATGCTGCTGGATAATATCGATGGTCAGAGGAATAGGTGCAGATTGAGACAAACATATTACTCAATGGGACACAATGGGTTGTGGTTGACTGGGGATGGAGAAAGTCTGTGGTTAAACAGGCTGGATTTGACTGGTGGATAAACATTCTGTTTCCTCTTTGTTGATTTACCCTGGAGATTGGGGAAGTGTCTGTTCCGTGTCTTTCTCCCACAATTGTGGAGGTCTTGTGTGGCATGTGGAAGGATTTGATGGTGTGGAGTTTGATGGTGCGAATGAGCCTTTGTCATTCCACATTTTCTCATGTGTTTCTGTTGCTCTCAGAGTGTGGTCTCTTCAGCTGCCCTAGTGTAGTGCCCCCATCTTCCTCTTACATTTGAACTTTCCAGTTCTGCTTTGCATTTTGTCACCGAGCTACAAAATTTGCCCTTGAACATTTAGGAAAAGTTGCCAGCAGACGTGAGCAGATTACTGCAGTGGCTGTTTGAGTGATCTGTATATCGATTTAATGAAATCCTGTGCAACTGCACAAGAAATGAAGCTGATTTCTCATTCTGCGGTAAAGAATGCTATTTCACCCATGTATAGTCTGATGTGGGTATGCAGATAGCGTCAGTCAAAGGATTAACTAAATCTGACAGCCATTCGGAGTCTAGTTATACTTTAAAGACTTGAGACACTTTTTTTTTTAAAAATGTGTTTGCTGCAGATTATTTGTGCAAGTTATTCTTTAAAGCATGTTGCAATTATTTTCCATCACACGCTTTTTTAAAACTAGTGATCGATTGACAGTTAGTTTAAAATGTAAAAGAAGAAAACCACCTTCCCCAATGGTCCAGTGGTAAAAGCCATCACTGCACACACCAGGCCATCGCAGGTTCAAATCTTGATTTGTGCGCTGAGTAGGCTGATCTCAGCCAAGGCGATAATAGAGACATTAACAACAACTTGCGTTTATATGGTGCCCCTAATGGAGGGTAGAGCTCCAGAGTGCTTGACAGTGATGGAGCATGACACCGACCTGGGGGAGGGGGAGATGACCGTAGGCACGGTCGCAGAGGATGGTCTTCAGGCGCGACCTGAAGATAGGGAAGGAGGGGGCAAGGCAGACAGATAGAGAAATAGTGTTCCAGAATTTCAGGGCGTAGTGGCCGAAAGCGCAGCCACCAAAGATGGAACTGAGTGCCCGAGGGACAAGCAGGAGGCTAGAGCCCGTTAAGCGAAGGCAGCCGGTAGTGGGTTGGGCAATAAGAATCCAGTGTCTCTTTACGTACAGTGTCCTTTAAAATAGAAATATTCATTAATTAGAGGCGAAGATGGTGGAAGGAAGTTTGGTATCTCCGATGCAAATCTATTTCAGTGCCGTGTAGGTGCAATGGAGCTTTGAAGCGGAAATCCTGTTTTGCTGGGTTTATTTTGCTATTTGGACAGTACTTGGGCTGGCTATCCTGATCGCTGAGGAACCGTGTGATTGCCCATCTCAGATTGCTGTCAGTAAGTCTGCCATCGGTAGGTCTGAGTC